CAATTAATAAGTTTCTAAAGCTGCCCCACAATGGTCGTTTAGCCACTAATCGAGGTGTACTTATCAAAAGTCATTTAAAAAATTGAATCAAATTCAAACGTTTTTAACCTAAACTATTGTGACTCGCGGCAGACTAGGCTGCAATGAGTCGAGTGCCAACACCAAAAACTATATAATAGCTAATAAAACTTTTTGTCCTAATATTTGATATAACTCTATATTAGTTTATTAAACTATAACAATTTTACATCAATTGATTTACACGTAAAAAGATAATTAAGAACTTATTATTACGAGTGACTGTTAATTTTGTGTTTAATTTAAAGGCATCATATATGACACTAACACACATTTGTCTTATGCTAATTTGTACATCTGATTTGCTTTGGAAACTGACGATATCATGAAAATTGTTGAACGATGCAAAAGAAAGTTAGAAATTGATGATGGGCTATGGTACTTGTATCGTAGTGTGAGTACTCCGTTATGATCTGAAACGTAGTAAGTAGTAGTAAGTACAATAATGCAAAGGTGCAGAAATGTGGATAGTATTAGGAGGCAGTGGCTAGTGGCTAGTGGCTAGTGGCTAGTGGCTAGTGGCTAATGCCTAATGCCTAATGCCTATTACCTATTACAGGTGTTTTGCAAATTGCAATGATGGAGAAGGGTCGTAAGAAGATGAAAAATGAGAGATAGGGTTATCACATGGGTCATGGTGGCTTCTCATCAAGTGTGTGGATAAAATAAGAAACAGCATCCACACGGGTGTTTCATCCGGAAAACATGGTCAGCTGTAATTGGATCGCCGTTTTCAGGCACTAACACGCTCCTATCTCTCCAATTACATTGCCTCTCTTTTCTTTTAATTTTCAGCTCTAATTCGAACGTGCTTCTGCTTCAACTTTCTTATAATTAAAAATCTAAACAATTATTGCATAAAAGACAATTTCCAATATTTTTTGCTTTCCCCCTGAGGATATTCCCCTATGTTAACCTATTTCAAACTTTAAAGATTGCCATGTCTCTTCCGGTATCTTTTTATTCACGTCACACCATTAGAGATTCAGTTCATATCAACACATCCAATTTGTATTCTACCCCAGAAAATTCACTCAACTAATCATTTTTTATAATTACAAAAACATTTTACATAACATATTTTGAGTTTTATGAATCTCACTATTTGTTAACATAACATAATATAAAATAAAATTTAAATGTAACCAAAAGAAATGGAATTTTTTTTTATCTAAAATAACATAAGTACCTTAAACAAGAAACTATTTGTAATATAAATTAATAATAATATTTTTGCCTTTGAATATAAAATAAATAAATAAATATTTTCTTCTATTTTTTTATTCATATAACATTTTTTTATCAAATCAATTCATTTTAAAAATAAACCATAAGGACTTCATGCCAACATTTGTCTTAACAACTTTCAATTCTCTCCTTTTCTTTTAAATTTATATTTCAACGGGAGTTGCATATAAATCTTTTTTTCCTCCATTTATTGAACTATGTCAAATAGTGTAAGGGTCCAATTTTCATTAAAAAAAAATGAAAATATTTATAAACAATCATTGACTCCAATCTTAAGCAATATAAATTTTATAGTATATCAAATTAAGAATAATTAGATGCTCCTTCTATTTCATGTCTACTAATATCCTTAAAATCACTATACTTTACTATGCATTATCACGATTTTGTTATAAAAATGTGTTTTGATGGACTAATTAAGAGAGTATAGTGTTTATAGATCATCATTGATCTCATTTAATGTGTTTTGTTAGTTATTGCTTACTTTATGTTTGAATTTTACAAATGGTCTTCATGGTCAATCTATTAATTCTCTTATGATCGATGCGCAAACAACTATTCAAACACGAGTAATTTTTATTATACATTTTATTTTAACTCACATTGTAACCCATTTTTTCTCTTAATCTCTTTTTGTATTTTGAATAATATCACATATGACATCGATTACTTTCTCTCTGTACCTTCTTTTTTTGCTCTCCCTCCGTCCCAATACACCGCATTTGACGTTGATAATTTTTCTTCAAACACAACCTTAAATAAACCAACCCATTATTCTCTCAGAAAAAAACAAAAAAATAAAAAAAAGATCGAGATTCGTGGAGGGAAAAAAAAAATAGTGATGAGAGAGGAGGAATAGAACCAAAACCATGACACTTAATCACGTGCTTCATTAGGGTCATAGCTAGGTAGGGTAGTTGGCACTTTGTCATTCGTGGCTTAATTTTCGTCTCTCGGGAGGGCGAAGAAGCAGTGTTTCTGTCACACTTGAGGTCGCTCGTAGATATATGCGCATGCCACATTGCCAATATCATCACTCGTGAACGGAACAACACTAGATTTTCATGCCTCCTTTCAATAATCTTTAACGTCAATCCACAAAATAATTGAGACCATCATGTCATGTGTGTGCAGGTTTTTTAATATTTTTTTTTACTTTTGAAGCCATAAATAATTCTAATCGAATATTCATCAATGCTTATCACATTTATTTTTTCGGGTAGAGAGAGATTGAAGCTGGAGACGACGTGGACTAAATAATAGTCATTAATTCTCGGGTGTGAAAGGTAAAGAAAGTTGATGGTAGAAAACGGAAGGGAATCTCTTGAAAGACTTTGAGTTTAAGCAAATATTTCGGTGCTTTGCACCGTCGCAATCGGCAATCTTTGACTTTGGAATAAAAAAGTCACTATTATAGCAAGGAAGAGCCATGTTAGCCGTTACAGATACAGTAACACTTTACTATACTTGCATAATAAGGGTAGGGAAATAAAAATAACAAGAAAGAAAAGAGACATAGATAAGATAGACTCAATAAGAGATGTGACAAATAAAATGTATATAATAGTTGCAAAAATATGGTATATAAAAGTAAAATACCGATAAACACTTCAATCAACTAATATACTAGTATATGATTCTTCCTTCTTAATCAGTGGACTCCATGTTTGAATTTCTAAAATCTAGATATTAGTTTTTTTAAAATATTTAACTTATTTGACTCAAATATAATTACTTTCAATAAGATATTTATGATTTATAAGAAATATTTAATTTTTTAAAATTTTTATAATTACATCAACTTTAACTTTATTCGCCCTTATATATAAAAACATCTCATTTTAATTTTTATACATACCATTTTTTTCTTTTAAACCTCTATTGAATAATTTTATAAGACTAAAAAGTAAGATTTATGATAATATAAAAATTAGAAAGGAATAAAATGATATGTATAAAGAAAGACTAAAATGAAATACTTTTAATCATATAATTAAAAATAAAATTGATGAAACTATGAAGATTAAAAAGATAATTAAACTAAAAAAAATATAGGAAATTTGAGTTATTATTGTACAACTGATTAAAAACTAGAGTGAATAGAAGTTACAAATTAATGGCAGAGTTTTGTAAAGTGGATCACAAAAATTACATTTACTTACAATTTCTAGATTAAAATCAAGGCTTATGAACAACAACAAACACCACGGGGCATATAAAAAAAAAAAAAAAATCAAAACAGAAAAGGAATAAGGTTGCAAAAGGGGATGTGATATAAAGTAAGTCTGTCTCATTGTCTCGTTCCGATTCTTTAAACCCTTGGAACCCCAAATTCTAAAAGCTAATTTGCATGCGTTTGTTGTTTATTTATTAAGATGGTTTAGGCTTTAGTTGACTACGTGTAGATATTTCGGTTTGATAATCCCAGTGCTTAACAGAGTAGCATAAGGACACAATCTATTAAAAGAGAGGGACATCTTTGCATAAAGTCACATTTCATTGTCCACATGCTCAACACATATATTTTATTATTATAAAATAAATAGAGATTCAGTAGCTTCTTGCATGGAGCAATGGCCAGTTGGTGACTACAGTCAATTGATTATTCACAAATAAGTCCAAAAGCAATATAGAAAAGCAAAATTTATTGTCATTGCCACATTTCCAACGTCAATCAGAAATTGGTTTTTTTTCACTTTTTACTGTTTAATAGGTATCTATCCGTACATTTCATAATATAGTAAGCTATGCAGATACCTGCCACTAAGTGTCAGATCCCAAGCACAGTGTTCGCCAAATATGACATTATTTTTCGTGTACAAAATCACACATATAGTAAGAGCTAGTCTATTATACTGGGCCCTTCATGTGTTACAAGTACCACATGGATTTTCTACCATTCGGGAAGGGTAAGTTTTTGTCTCAAAAAGCAAATTGTACACATGCGCCCCAGCCTCTTGGATGTTCATCATGCATATTTTCTACTGTGTCCTTGCATTTCGCATTTCACTTTCACGCCGCACATACATTTAATATTTATTAAGTGTTACTACATAGGTAAAATTTGCATTTCAAAAAGAAAGTCCAGAGAGAACATCAATGTGATTCCTATGCCTGCAGGGTATTTAACCACTAAAGAGAATATTCTACATAAATAACCAGCAGTTTTCTTTTTTTCTCTAAGCATAATTGTTTTTTGTTGTCATTACACTCTAGTCGGTGCTTACCGGTGGTTCCTCTTTATGAAACATGAATCTGTCTAACTCCAAGAGTGGTGTTTAATCCTTTAGTTACATATCTCCGTATATGGCTATGCTTTCTGGCCTCCTCATTTATTTATCAACTAAAAAAGTGGAAGAAGCCAAAACAACCCTTGAATGATATAAAGAAGCAGAAATTAATTTACTAATGTGGTGCACGAGTGCATCGTTGTTGGTGATTGTGACAAATTGCTGTTCAGTAAAAACTTTTTAAAAAGACAGCCGAAGAAATTGGTTCGTTGTTTGTTCCAAAATCCAAAACACACTATGAACCATTAACGGGAACAAAAGACTAATCATTAAAGCATTATTAGTTAGTGACTGCACCAAATTAAAATTAAGTTTTAACTTGAAAGGACAGCTCTCACTGTATGGGAGCATGGTAACTCTTTCACACACTCTCATTCTACGGTCTACACTAATGGATACTTTAGTACACAACTGGCAGTGTTGATTCATTGGCATAAAGATAAAATAAGAAGGCGAAAGGAGTGAGCAAAGGGACAAGCAGTTTAGAATTCTAGTGTGATTAGTTTGTTTCTCTCTCTCTCTCTTTTTCTGCTCTTTTTGTTTGTCAGCGAATTGTTTTTTTTTTTTTCTCCACCCTCTAGTGTTCCTCCTCTTCTACTTAAACTGAGAAGAACCGCATCAAGAAACACAAGGAGAGAAAAAAAAGAGAGCAAATAGGTACTTTATTTACAACTCTCACTTGATCACAATACAAGAGTACCAGTCACTCAAAGAAAGAAGGGTTAAATGGATATATCAAGTTCACAATACAATAGTGCTAGTGAGTCTGGTTGGACACATTACTTGGACCAATCCTCTCTTTCTGGAAGTTATTTCCAGAGTAGAGGTGGGATAGTAGACTATGAAGGCAAGGGAGTAACAATGGAGGAGGAGGAGGAAGATTTGTCTATGATCTCTGATGCTTCATCTGGTCCTCCACATTATCATGAAGATGATGATCAACACTATTGTGTAAATTGGTATCCTTCTACTACTCACAACACCAAAGAATCAGAAAAGAAGAAGAAGGTCAAAGAATATGGTGACAATCAACATCCTTCACCTCTTGATGACACTGCCAGTTCCCCTGTTCTTAACTGTCCCAAGGTAAATGTAATTGTAATTTTAATGTCATTGTGTATATAATTTCTCCTTAGCAGCAATTTCTCTGAGGGGTTAATGTTAATCAGTTCTTTTTTAATTGAATAGAAGAAAGCCAGCTTCTCAGGGAATGGAGCAGTGGAGAATGTACCAGATTTTTCCCCATGTTTCTCGGCAACAAAAATTAAGGTACACCTCTAGTTTGATTATTAATATTTCTATCCCATAGTGTTTATTGCCAGGTTGAGCTAAACTTGTCAATCTATGCAGAGAAAGTCTAAATTCAAGAAGCACTTTAGTTTCTTTGAGCGTTCTCTTGGTGGAAAACAAGCTTCAGAGGAACCAGGTGATCCATTGTTTTGTACATTATGTTTTTATGTTGTGTTCTGCCTATACAAGCTAACAGGTGTCTCATTTGTTGCATCATTTATTCATTTTTCTCCTGATTAGGTGGTTTCGATGAAGAAAGAAGGAAATGAAAATTTTAGGTGTGGCTTTTGCTTCTGCTGCTAAAGAAAGACTAGGGGTAGAGGGTGTGAAATTAGATGATGCTGTTAAATGACAAAGAGAACTTCCTTTGATTTTTTTTTTTTAGATATAGGAAAAAAAAAAGAAGGAAAATCTCTTTTGGTGTAATTTTTCTCTTTTTTTAATGTGCTACTCTGCCACTGCCAATGCAGTTTGGAACGACATAAGAGAATATAAGAAACTGAACAGGGTGTCCGATTCCATTTTCTTTGTTTCATCAGTGACAACATGTCTGGATATGGTGACAATTTGTTTTATTTCTCTGGCCTCGAGAACACAAGCACTAAGTTGCTAAAAAACTAACCAGTAGTTCACATTTCACACATCACAGTGGGAACTATGCTCCTTCCTCTATATCATAACAGTTTAGGGTGAATCCATAGAAAAATTATTACATAGTATAACATCACACCATGGTTCATGGTTCTGGTCAATTTTGTGACACATAATAGAGTATTACTATTTTTTTCTCATAAATTGAAAAATATTCCTAATCCTACGTTGGCATGAAAATTGGTGGGACTATGGATGTGTAGTCTTTGTTTTTGTCCTAACATGGTAATTTTTTAACTAACTTAATTATAAACTAATTTTACTCATAATACCGTAATTTTTAATAGTCTGATAAGTTTTTGCATGTGATAAGAATCAAATTCAATTTTTTTTTAACTAAATAGACTGTCCTCATAAGTATTAAATGTCTAACATCTATGAACATGTGGAAATTCCTTGATATATATATCATAAATTCATTCAAGATTATGAGGAAATTAAAGCACAAGCAAACAAGGCTAATATTATTTGACAAAAGCTATTCCATACATACAAATATGAGAACCAAATCTTAAGCACATCCTTAACAAATAAGTATGGATAGATGTCAACATAGCACAGCATACCATACAATGGTGGTTTATTTAGATAACTAATGTCCAAGGAATTGTACCAACAGAAACAGTATATGAGGCAGAAGAGAGAGAGGGGAAGTTTTAGTCACTGCTCATAACGACGAAGCATATAATATGCGAAAGGAAAAGGCTTAGCAAGGAGTGGTGACCCACTTTATTAAGTTCAGCTATTGCCAGCCTAGCTCTCAACAATTTTGGGTGGGTTAATATGGTAACCTAAGCTTCTTGACACCAAAAATAGACAAGTATCCAAATGAAACCAACAGTCAAGCTGCATTTTCTGCCAAAGTATGCACCCCACCACCATCTGATAGCTACCCACCTAAAATGTGATCCATATACAACACTGGTACAATTATTGAATTTGTTTTGATAGAATATCCAACAAAATCTTTTAGTGTTATATATCCTCCTCAGATGAGACTCATGGATCTATCGAAAATGGACAACACCCATGCCTCTCACGACTCGTCTCTCTTTTCATGGCCATTCTAAATTGGCGTTTGCCAGTTACTCTTTTCAAATAATTGTGTCTGCCTTTTCGACATTATCCATAGAGGAATATAAAGATGAAGAATGAAAAAAAATAAAATTGATTTGCAATATGATATGATCAAAGGAATATGTAACACAGCAAAACGGTTTAAAATTAGATTTTGCTCCTACAATTTTCACCTTTTATATTTATACCTAAGGTGTTGCTCACCAATACTCTTAAAATACAACTATTTATGTTAGTTAGTTTTATTTGATTTATAAAATAAAATTATAATATATTAAATTTAACCTTTTTATTCATCAATATTTTTTTTTAAAAATAGAAATATTATTTCATATCAAAACTTAACAGAAGATATTTATTTATCAATTTTTTTTGAAGTGCTATTTATTTATTTATCAAATTATCTTATCATTATCTAACAAAAATAACATATATTCTCACAATATTTAATAAAAAAATAAAAATAAAAACAAAATTAATACTGCAAAGTATTTTATAAAAAATATTAATTTTTTTAAATTGTCTTATAATCAATTCAAAATTAATATTTTTATTAGATATCACATTCGAGTGCAATAGAAATCGCATCAGTTTTACAACCGCATTAAATTAGGAAATCTGGATAACGTGACAGAAGAACCGAAATGTTTTCGTATGTACTGGATAGGGGTTTTTTTTTATATTTTTTTTTATTTTTAATAACCAACTTAGTTTATTTATTTAGTTAAATTACAGTTTTGTATCTTATAATTTCTTTTTCACAATTCTTTTATTTTTAATTAAACAATTTTTATTTCTAAATTTTTAAAATTATGTAATTTTAGTCTCTTTAATTGATTAATCTCTAATTAATGATGACAAAATAATGATATGAATCATTAAAATGTCACTTTAACAATAATAGGATAACTCACATGAATTAATGAGATAATATTTTAATAATGATGTGACTCTAATTAAGAAATAAATATAAAATTTATCTTAAAAAAATGGTAAAAAAAAAGGACTTTATGAGTTATGAGAATTAGAACTCAGAACCTTGTCAGCAACTTTTTTCATTTAAACCACTTAGTTAGTTAACTTTTTTATTTATTATGATTTGAACATTATATCATATATAACATTACTACCTGAGTTAATTACTTTAAATATATCTAATGTTAATATAGTTTAAAATTAATAAAGAATAAATTTGTTTAATAATTAACTATATAATTTATTATTTGATCTATTTTTATACAATAAAATTTAGTATCTTAATAGTTTAAATGGTAAAAGTTATACCTAAGGTAATGAGTTATAGTTTTTGTAAAGTCATTTTATACAGTTATCATCTAAGTGTAACGTCTTTGGAGAGAAGAACAAAAAAATTTTAAAGGTTGTTTATAAGTTATATTTAATAAAAATAAGTTCAAAACATCATTATGAATAAGTATTATATAAATTTTTTTAAAACACTTTCATAAAATTTTATAATAATATAAATATAAATAAGTTGTTAAAATAATATTCGCAAAAATCAGAATTATAGATTAATTATTAATTATTAGTTTTGAGATAATCATGTCATGAAAAAAAAAACAATTCTTTCAAGTAAGATGTCACCAAAAAAGAATACTTATAGAAGAGGAGAAGAAAAAACTGTTACCTGATAGGGAAATTTCTAAAAGAAAAAAAATTGGTTATCGAATAACGTTTCTAAAAAAAAAAAAAGGAAGAAAAATGAATCTTTAAATACAAACGTTTCCGAAAGACCAAAAGAGAAAAATAAAAAATATATTTTTGGAGATGTATTTAAAAAAAAAAAAAAAAAAAAACAAGGATGTACTTGATAAACAGGGATTATTTATTTTTATCATTTTTATTCCTTAGTTTTTTTGTTTTTTTTTCATTGCAAAAAAATAAAAAATAAAAAAAACTCCAACAATCCCGCGTGTTGAACTGATAAGGAGCCCAGAAAATCCCAAAACAAATGGGCTAAAACAGGCCCAATACGACATTGCTTTATCCTAACGGTTGTGTTGTCCCACATGACACTGGGAGTTGCTGAATCGGGATCTTCTCGAGGTTGCGGAAATCAGAATCAGTAATACTAATCCAAGTTACTCTCTCTGTGTGCGCGCGAGGCATGAAACCCACGTGCTCCCTTTCTCTTTCTCTCTGAAGCTTCAAGTAAAGTATTCCAAAGCCTCTGATACTCGAGGCACTCGTCTCCGATCCAATTCTTCGTTCCTCCATGGAGGACGCATTTGCCAGATCTATTCCCGAGGTAATTTCCTACTGCGTTCTCCATTTTTCCACCACATCGCATTCTAACTTCACATTTTTCGTTCACCAAATCTCCAACCAAACATTATTTATTGTTTAGCATAAAATACTTATATCCTAACCCAAGCTGATCGTAATGTGAATTTCCACGTTTTCTGTATTGCGACCTGTGTTGTGATGTCTCTAACTAGCACAATTACTATGCTCACGAATAGAGATAATGTGTTTTCATGATCGCTCATCATGTCAATATTGAAAATCTATGATCACAAATGCATGCCTCTTGCAGTATTAGTATTCGTAAACTCTGTATCAACTGCTTTCTCTACAATTACGATTCCGTTCATACGGAGATTTTAGGGTCAAATTATATATTAGCATATTCATATAGAAAGCGATTGTTGTTAAATTTTTTTTCTTCTGGTTGGTTAGGTCCTTGATTTCTTTGGAGTGGACCCGACTAAGGGTTTATCTGATGCAGAGGTACTTCAGTTTTCTTTTCATTTCCTCTTTTACTTGTCAATTGTCATTGTACTTTGAATTTCCTTTCCTTTCCTTTTCCCTTTTTTTTTTTCCAGGTAGCACAACATGGTAGACACTATGGTAAAAACGGTATGTCTTCTGTAAGGCCGCGCTCTGATATTTAACTTTGTTTCTTAGGCAGACAAGAGAAGAGATATCAAGGGATGTAGTTTTAAATGAATTTGCATTAGTGTATGCCGTAACAACTAACAAGCTGGTATTGATGGCACTTAGATAACAAAATCACACCACTGAACTTGGAATTCAAGAAATTTACCTTTTACATCTTGTTCACCAGTTTTGTTTTAAGTTTTTTTTTCTTTATTTGTCTATTAACATTTATTTCCTCTTCTCTTACTGCATGGTATCATTTGCTACGCAGTGCTTCCTGAAGATCAAAGTAAGTATATGAAGTTTTTAACTCTTACTTTTGATTTTGTTTGATTATGTAATTAAGGGAACTCGGTAGTTGTCATTGTATGGTACAAATTATAAGGTTACAACTTAATTTGAAGTTTTGAACTGATAATATTTCACCAAAACAGATTGTTGTTGTATCTGATAAACAGTTTGTTAGTGTTTGGCATCTGATTTTGGCTAGCTTGGCAAGTTATAGAAAGAAAAAAAAAAGAGTTTATATTTACTGTATGCTAAGTAATTTGAGGACCATGCAAAAAGTCCTATTAATGATTAAGTAACTGGAATGAACCTCATCTCATATATTATTGTTAATAGAGGTGTTCTCAGTTCAAGCTCTATTACCTCTGTTGTACTATAATTGTTTTGCTTAACAAATAATTCAATCAGGTATCATTGTCACTAATTTTTTTAAATATAATCTGCAGGAGCTCCTTTTTGGAAATTGGTTTTGAAGCAATTTGATGATTTGCTTGTAAAGATACTAATAGCTGCTGCTCTTATATCTTTTATTCTGGCATTAATTAATGGAGAAACAGGCTTGATGGCATTTCTGGAGCCTTCTGTAAGATATATTTGCACTCATATTTCATGTTTGAT